CTAAATTGGCTTCATAATACATATTTTTCGTTTTATTTGCAGCAAAATTGAAATTCTACATCAATGTCTTTTCAAAAATGTCCGTTAGATTAGCCTTAAATTTGATATCATCAACAACTATCTCACTTGTCTCAACTACTATACTTTCATATAAAAGCACGGCATCGTTTACTTTTCGAAGTGCATAATCAAAATGAGTTTTTATATGTTTGTTTAGAAGATTTTATCAGTAGAGAAGTAAATAAGTCTTTACTTATGATTCCGAGGCCTACTTTGGTTTGAACCAACCTATAGAATATCAAGCTGACATGTTCCGTTTTTTTAGTGCACTACCAAATCATAAATTTATTGGGCCTCATATCTTGTTTCGGTGGTTGAATACGGTGCCTAAGAGTAAAGAATGAAACTCTATTTTGACTTTCAAGAAGGGATTATTTTGAATGATAAAGTTTTTTATAACTTCTCAAATATTCTGGTTTCATGGGGCCTCTAGCATTACAATAATCCCCAAAAGAGTTTTTTTTCAATAACTCTTCAATGAAAATCGTAAGCATATATTCCCAGGACCTCGCCCGAATGGCTAGTGGAAAAAGATTTACTTTGACGATACTAACCGTCATTTACACCTAGGATTTTTCTTACTTTGGCTGAAGTTAAGTTAATTAAAGCGGTTCGTGAGGTCTAAACCTTTACTTAATATGTAATTATTAGTCTACATTTTAATCCTACAGCTTTTTATGGGCATATTCTATTTTCAGCAACCTACCGTCTGAATGTCATTTTAATAATGTTATCGCTTATAAATATCTGAAAACTTTGATTATATTTTACTCTATATTATATATTATATTATTGTATATTATATGTACATATATATATAATAGAAAATAACTTGGATTATTCTGAATAATTTCTTAGGATTATAAGTCTTACCTCGATTTCATTTTGGCCATGGAAAATCGCAAGGAACCTCAATCACTGTCGTTCTTCTTCCGCCTCCTAGATGTCGGTGGACAGCGAAAGCTTACAGCTATGACTTTGGCTCACTTCTATACTGGTGTTGAAGCCCGCCTTAAGTCTGCAGACCATGATCCTCCTTGTTTAGACGATGTTTTAAATGAAATATTTGACATGATCAAGCCAAAAAATCCTCAGTATATAACGCTTGATGACCTCATTAATTGGTGAGTCGTCGAAGTTTTATTGCCTGTCTTATAAGTGTTGCAATCACATTACTGTAAGATAATCGATAGTTTTTTTTCTTTGATGTCAAATACGGCGTCCTTTTCATTATGTTATTGTTCAGGTTGACGAAATTTTTACTGCTACACGTTTTATTTTTCGAGAGCTCTTTGTGGCCTGACTATGTCCTTCGGGAAATAGATCGGCATTAATTTTATGAAGCAAGGCTAGGAAAGATTTATATACGTTATTAAACCAAATTATGGTGTTCTATGATTATTGATTTAATAAGACTATTT